GACTCTATGCACGTACTGTGAACTATGTATGTGCTATGTACTACTTATGTACTAATGTATACCAATGTATATGTTACACAATATGTACTATGTATTTGTAGACTATGTATACACTATGTACTACCCATGCTCTATGTCCACACTATGTATGTACTATGTATATACTATGTACTACCTATGCACTATGTATGTACTAGGTAAACATGTATATACTATGTACTACCTATCCACTATGTATGTACTAGGTAAACATGTATTGACAGTATTGTCAGATATCTAAGAACTAAAAGAGCGCACTTTGTGAAACAAACGATAAAAGTACACAAGACAAACATGAAGAGCATACTGAAACCATATCATTTTTATCATTCATCTTTTAGCTCCCTTTTAACTGCGCCTCTCAAGTCCAAGGCTCACCACCTTGATGAAGCTCAGTGTCAGCTGCCTGCATTCCCCTGTGCCATAACAGCCCACATGTATGCTGCGAGAAAGAAGCAGAGTAAAGGGGGAGGGGATAAACACAGAGAAGAGATGGAGCGAGAAGACAAAACAAAGGGAAAGTAAGAGTGTGGAATGAAGACGAAAGCAAAGGAGAGGATAAGAAAAGGGTCGAGAATCAGTCTGTCCTTGACGACAGAGAAGACGTGCATTGTGCGGATAAGGTGGACGAACGCATGGAAGACCTAGCCGAGTATTCTCAGTACAACAATTGCCACGACCGGTGGCACTGAGCATGCAGATCATGCACTCCCGCCAAATGGCATGTTGATTGCAGGCCGGCATGAAGGAAGAACACACACACGCATTCAGAATAACGCCCTACACGATGAACGCATATGTCCGGACGAATATACAGTCAAACACAGCTGCCCGGTAAACCGTAGGCAGAGAGGGAGAAGAGGACAACAACAGAGGCGCTGTGACAAACTTTTCGTCGGAGTTTCACCGACTCATCGGGAGGCTGAATATGAATGTATGCAGGTACTATTTGTGCACTGTGTTATTCACTACGTAGGCACTTTCAAGGACAACCTCAGGATGTATATATGAATGTCAGGACATTCGTTAGAATTGGAACGACACAGAGAAGATTAGCATGGCCCCTGCACAGCGGTAAAAGAAAAAGGAACACCTCAGGGTGATGAGCTGACTTCCAGATGATAATATCAGATAAAGCTTCATACCATTGCAGGGTAGATGCCATGCCATCCACTACGGTTCAATCCCAGACAATCAGGTCGTAACACTTTATAACTCGTCGAATCATGCACTGCACATCTGGCGCCTGACATTGAAGCGAACAGATTATGCACCTCCTTTAACACAGAGCAAGAAGGAGAAAGAGCAACAGAATAAGTTGGGAGACGCAGGAAAGCTAAGTTACTGACAGAGGCACAAAAGACAAGTGTGTTGAATTTGACATGAACAAGCAAACAGGTCTGTATGCTCACTTACTAGGGACACCGCAACTCCTGTTTGCCCTGCTCGGCCAGTTCGCCCGACACGGTGCACGTACCCAGATGCGGTTGCTGGCATATCAACATTTATTACCTGCAACAAGCATCAATTGATTCAATTGCCATTCCTGTTGTTTCAATGAGATCATCAACAAGAAGCACTAAGCATAAAAAAGAAACGGAGATGAGACATTTTCGACGACTTAGAATTTCTGAGTACTTTCCTTATTACATTCTTAATTAGATTCCTAATCAGAGTCTTCATTAGGAGTAGAACGAAGGGCCGAGTGACTCCGGTGAGGTTTGGTGGCTTGTCTGAGGCTGTGCTGAGGCTAGAATGTCTTCTAGCTCATGAAAGGTCGATGCCAGAACGACGCTCGTCGGTGCTGGGGCCTGGTCGCAATGCCCTTGAACCCGAGTTAGGCAGGGGCATGAGGCCTGGCAGAAAATTTTGGGGAATTGCCGAGGGTGGAAGGCAATTCTGGTGGCCATCTATGAGCTACGGTTGTCCGATGCCAGAACGATGCTGGGCAGTACTGGGGTGATACCCTGTAACCTCCTGTAGGCGAGGTTGCGAGGCCTGGTAGAGAGATCTGGGGATGCTTTGGGGTGGGCATTCCAAGGGGTAACTGAGGCTGCTGCTGAGACGATGCTGGCCGGAGCTGGGGCGCGTCATGTTGCCCTGTAACCTAGCAAGTTGGGGGTGGGAGGCTTGGATGGGCCTGGCAGAGGCCTACACAGCTTTGGAGATTTTGGCTAGGCGTGCTGGTTGGCTCCGTAGCCCCAAGGTAGTTCGAAGTTCTTATGACTTTCTAAGTTTCTATATAACTTAGTAGTTTTTTTTTTTCCAGGAGCGGTTTTCTCGTTTCTGAACTCGGGACCTTTGTGTCTGGAATAAAATGTCCATCTTCAACGTGATAGTTCGACGGTAAGACGAGTGGCGTTGGAGGTTGTTCATAAACTGGCCCTGAAAGTTCTGAAGTGTTCTCGGCCGAAGCCGGGTAATGACCGCGGTACTTCAAAAAAAAAAAAAAAAGAATAGACAGATGATTCACAAATTCTGCAGTGTGGACATACCACCCGATAAATGACACCATAAATTACCAAAAAAAGGCAAAGATGCACAAAACGGCCCGAATGGGAGAACAGTGTAAAGCCTCCTCACTAAAATTCCTGATAAAATAAATAGAGTGCACCGCCTCTCTACCTTCTCCCCCCCAACTAGAATGTGCAGTCATTATAGTTGTATTTAAGGCAACTTTCAGTCTATTAGATACAGCAATAACGCCTGCGCGTTCTTCTGCTCGGGTGAAGCCAGTAGTCTGTACGTTCTGTCCGGGTGAAAATAGTAGAAGGACATGAAGTCCTCAAGGACAAGTGACGAGCCAACAAGATCGCATGATTGCAACTCTTTGTCCTGGCCATCGTAGCACGTGTGTCTCTCAGGATGCAAGGGGCATGCTGACTTGACGTCATCCTCACCTTCCTCCGGATTATTACCAGCAGTCTCTCTAGAGTTCCATAAGAGCAACTACAGTCTTCCCCCGAATACAACGTACGGTCATTATGACTGAATTAAGACCGAAAGATACACCAAATTCAGCTATAATACCGTACGTTGTATTCGGGGGAATACTGTAGAAACGAGGGTTAGCAGTTTTTTGGGAGGGTGAGAGGGAGGGAGATGGCGAGGTGGAGATCGCCGCTGTTTCGGTTGTTCTCTTGTATAGACAAGCCCGCAAGAAAAGCAGCTATTTTTTGGGGAGCGGCATGGCAGGGTGGATATCGCAATTGCTTCAGTTATATCCTTGTACTACTGGGTATGACTTCCATGTGTGCAAGAATGATCAGACAATCTTCTGCTACGGCACAACAATCAACATGCTAGTAGGGAATAGGTTCATGCATCCAAAATTCATCATCGGTAGAGAGAATCATTGGCGATTCATCAGTTAGCTTCCAAACGAGGGGCAGGCTCTGCTGGTGCCATGTTTGCACTACAAGAAAGCATGAACCTGGCACTAGAAAAGGCCAGGTTCATGCTGGCACAGCACAAAAGTAGCACCAGTGAAGCCTGGCCCTAAAGCTGCCACATGTTGAATGAACTCATGTCTTGATTGCCAACGATTCTCCCGAAAACTGCCCCTGGCTTCTGGATGAATCGTGTACGGTGGTTGGAACGTACGATTGCAATCAGAGAAAGCGGGTGTGGGGAGACTCCCCCCGTCCCCCCCTTCACTTGATAAAAGGGGACCAAAAGCGGGTGTGGGGAGTTTGAAGAGAGAGGGTTGCTCCTGACAGTGTGTAGGGTTGGGGAGTCTGAAAAAAAGAGGGTTGCCCCCTACAATGTGCAGGATTGGCAAGCTCTGCTTTTGAACATTACACAGAGCAGAGAAAAACAAAATGATAAAAAAAAAAAAAAGTGGGGGCCAGCGGCCTCGCTCTGTTGGTTTTGCCCGCAAGTGGCTTGCAGGAGGTTGTGGGTTCAATTCCCCATGGCCGCCTGTGGCGCGCTTGGCGTTCACCAGCTGAGATAGATGGCTTGCCCCCCCTAGTTGGTCTTGGTAGGGTCCTGGGTTCTCTTAGAGGCCCTCGCCCCTGCCATTCCTCACTGGGGCCTAATTTCTAGGTTTGTAGATCTCCGCTGTTTCTTCTACCCGGTAGATGCCCCTTCCTGGCATACTTAGGCATGAGGTATACTCGAGTGAAGAATATAGATTTAAAAAAAAAAAAAAAAATTAGGGACAACAGATCAGCAAATACACAAACAAGGGACAGAGCATGTGAGAAACACTCACCGTACAGACATTCTTGAAATCAATTCCCCTCACAACGCCAAACTCCCCCGCACCCAATCGCTTTCGCTTTTTTATTTTCTTTTTCTTAGGCTTGCCGTCTCCTGCCGTTTCGTTACCAACCGTCCCATCCTTCTCTCCTTCTTCTTCATCGCCTTTCGAGTCATCTGTTGCCACCAAGTAGTCAAAAAGCCCCCGATTGAACTCCTGCAAGACAGCAATCGCCCCTACTTTTGCATCAGGAAATCCGAGAAGGACGAACACACACACACACACATGGAAACACACGGACAGAGATACAAAAAGATCAAATTCTCTACTACAGCTCGTGATAGCACATCCCTACCTGGAGCCCATTAAATTTCCCAAGTGCAGATGGTATGGGCCTCTCCTTCCAACTCTTCTCTCCCTTCACCCCACCCCTCATTTTCTTTCTTTCTCTCTCTCTCTCTCTCTCTCTCTCTCTCTCTCTCTCTCTCTCTCTCTCTCTCTCTCTCTCTCTCTCTCTCTCTCTCTCTCNCTCTCTCTCTCTCTCTCTCTCTCTCTCTCTCTCTCTCTCTCTCTCTCTCTCTCTCTCTCTCTCTCTCTCTCTCGCGCGCGCGCGCGCGCGCATGTCCGGATGTATGCGTGTAATTCAGCGTTATCACCAAAAGAGCACCCAGCCAATGAAATACGAGACAAGTGTGTGACATCTTGTACTCAAACACTTGCCGAAATAAAAAAAAGGGGAGGACGCAGCCACAATCCCGAGCACACACAGGGTTCCCCTAATCCGTGTGTTGCCACGTTCACAAAACTCAACTCGCCCAAAAAGGCACATAAATGATAGTGTGTATGTGATCCCTGTTGCTGTCACATCCCTTATCTCATTGTCGACAGTTGGGTATGAGCACGTGATGAGTGTGACCCAATCACCTTGTCGCTGAGAGCAAATCATAACAGTCAGGGAGTGGAGGCATTGGCGCTCCCTCCACAGATCTCCAAATTCAGAGAGCCATAGCACCACTCCGGAAAAGAGCGGTTCCATTCACGTTCTCTCCCCAGCCTTGGCAAGTCCTCAGCACTCTTGTAACGGCCAGAGCTCAGATGGAGAGAGAGTGCATGGGCGCTCACGCTCTCTTGGCCGACTTCCAAATTTGGAGAGGGGACATGAGGCTGGGGCATACCTGGCACGATTTTATGTGTCCTCCTCATGTGCTCTCCAATTCTTTTTCTTCGCACTTGAAAACAGAAAGGAGACAACGGAAATGGAACAGAAACGGAATTCGAAACAGAAGTGGAAACAGAAACGGAAACCGAAACGGAAACGGAAACGGAAACGGAAATCAAAGTCGAAATGGAAATGGAAATGGAGGGCCAGCGGCCTAGCTCAGTTCGTTGAGCATACAAGTCGTATTCAGGAGGTTGTGGGTTCAATCCCCCACGGCTGCCCGCGACATGCTTGGTGTCCCACCAGCTGAGATAGTTGGTTGACTAAGGCCCCAGTGGCCGGTTTGGTAGGAGTGGGGCTGTCCTCCTGCCATCCCTCGCTACCTTCTTCACCCGAATACGTACGGTCATTATTGTTGTATGTACACGGAAAGATACCCCTAATACAGCTAAAATGACTGTACGTTGTATTCGGGCGAAGAAGGTAAGGGTTAGGAGACAAGGTACTACTCCCTGCATAGGGTAGAGTGGATAGACATAAGCTTAAGGCCCCACCTAGACAATGGTTCTGCCCTAGCATTGGCGCACGTTGTTTCTGGCATAGATAGGTAGGTAGTGGGAGGTATATTGAGTGAAGAATATAGCTTAGTTCACAAAAAGAAAAAGAAAAAAAGAAGGAAATGGAACTGGAAATGGTATGACCAACTGGCCTACTAGCTCAGTTGGTACATCCCCCCTGGACTGAACTGTTGAAAGTTGAAACACAGACGCGAGTTCAAACTCCAGTGGAAGCTGATGAGTAAAAAACTACAGTAATTCTGAATTACCAGGGGCCGGTCAGTTCGATGATGTTTTCAAGGCCCATGCCTTAAAGGCCCATGGAACCAAGGAAATCTTGAGTACCATGTCTTCAAGGCCCATGGAACCAAGGAAATCCCAGTGTGGACGACCTCACCAGCACCCACCCTGTGTGGCTGAATGGTATACACATGTAGCTGTTGATAAAGAGCTCACGAGTTTGAATCCTGAATAACGTCGGATGGATACTAATAAGATTAAGGGCTACCCCCTCAAAAAAAAAGGAAAAGGAAGAGGGACAACCTCGCCCCGGGGTCAATCCTACATGGCGCCCAATGTGACAAAAAAACCGAAGGCTTCCTTGGGGCATCAAGATGACGCCAAGTGGCTGTAACTTCACAAAACAGATGAACACGATCATATCAGGATGACATGTGTAGTACCCACCTGTAATATGTGCTGGCGAGAATTCTGCGGCACTTCGGAGTTCAGAACGGCTGAATGAATACCAAACTGTCATCAAGAAGAACCAAGGCGCAAAGAAACACAACAATGTCAGTCAAAAAACAAGTGCCCTGTATGCTGACAATTTCAACAGAAAAAGGGGTATACCATCCCATCACTTTCGCAGTCAAAATCGCCACCCTTGGTTTCTTTGTTACTAACTTAATTTTTTTTTTTTTAAATGCAAGGTTCAGTTTAGGATGAAGGGTTTATCATTTAGGATGAAGGGTTTAGGGTTTATGATGTAGAGTATTTAGGCTTTAGGATTTGGTAGTAAGAGGTTCTAGGAGTTTAGGCTCCATCCATTGCCTGCGCATATTTCCAAAGCAAGATTACAGCTCTCTCTCTCTCTCTCTCTCTCTCTCTCTCTCTCTCTCTCTCCTGTCTCTTATACACATCTAGATGTGTATAAGAGACAGGCTCTAAGATCGTTGACAGCTCCTGCTCTAAGATC